AGCGGAAACCCGCTCTGCCAGGAGGCGGGGCGGGACGGCTTCAGGCCCCGCCCCCAGCGGAACCGCGCCGAGTGCCGCCGTGCTGGGGTGTCCTATTGTACCCTGGGGTTCCTTTCCGGACGCGGGTGAAAAATGGAAGGAGTTCTCAAGGTAAAGCATGATAAAGGCACTTGCACTGATTAGCGCGTTTGATTCCAGTACCTCTAAGAACTGGCGAGAGAGACAACGCGAGCCTCCCCCTGAGCGCCCAATTGGTTTGACCCAGCCAAGATGGCGGCCGCCGGGTTTCCCGCACTCCGCCCGCTGACGCGGCCCGTCCGTCGGCCAGCCGGCCCGCCTCGCTTGGAAAGAAGCATGCGCGACCTGCGGAGCTGAGGAGCGGGGCATTTTGGAAGTTGAAGTCTCCTGCTCGGGCCCCTCGTCTGGGAGGAAGGTTCCGGCGGTACATTTTTGTCTGCTCCAACTTCGAGTCCGGAACTAGCGAGCAGAAGTTGGACCCGGGATGGTGTGGCACCGAAGCCGAGGAGGGGGCGATGCCGGCCTTCTGGACACTGAGACCTCATCCCGCTTCCCATAGGAGCCCATCCGGAGTAGTGCGTTCTCGGGTCGGTCTGCACCCCCACCTCACCCCACCCCTGTTCTTGTCCGGGCCACCTCCCCAAAGCAGCCACAGGGCACTTTCTGCAGTGCCAACCTGGGTTAAAAATCCCCGAGGCTCTCCTTTGTACACCAAAAACAGCAAATCTTTCCTCTTGACCTCCATGTTCCAACATCATTTGGACAACCCATCCAGCCCCCTTTGTACCTCCATTTCTGCCCCCCCCACCCCAATTGCTGAAATGTATCTGTTTTTGCCTCCCTCCCTTCAAACTGGCAGTTCCTTTTGGCTACTGTTACCTCCTGGACTGGCTAACATTCATTAAAGTAATTCAGGGGTCCTTTTCTCCGAGGATCTTCCTTCTCTTGAGCTCCCCAAGGCCTAGGCACCATCACTTAGCAGCCCGACGGGTGCCCAGCCTGCCTGCTCCATCATAGACTGTGAGCCCCCAGTGGACAGGGCTGGGTTTCATGACCACCCCCGCCTCCTGCAGGCCCTGCTGAAAGCTGGTGTGTGGAGTGTTCCTGAGGAATTCGTGTTCATCTCGCCTCTGAGGGGGCAGAGGTGTGAGGGCTGGAACAAGGCGAGGAGGCCGGGTTATTTTGGTGTTACCAGCTGTTACCCCGGGGCTGCCTGTCCGCTCCAGCCCTCTGTTGGCAGTTTAGCTTACTGGCACCTCTGCTCCCAGAGAGACAATTTTCGCCCCCGTGGGATGGGATGGGATGGGATGGGATGGGATGGGATGGGATGGGATGGGATTGGGGTGGCGGCAGCTGCTGACCTACAGTGATGGCCTCAGGGAGGTGGCATTTGATCTAATCGGCGGGGAATCTGCAGTCATGGGTGTCCTCAGGCTGGTCATCCGTCCTCTCCGGGCCTCTGCTTCCCCAACTGTGGACTGAGGAGGTTAGAGAAGATGATCCCAATATTCATGTGAAGCCCTTTTTCAGGAAATGACTAGCCTTCCACTTAGCTCTCGGACCATGTCTTTTTGGCTCCCGTGGCTCCCTTTTCCCCCACCTTCGTTCACATTTATTCAGCTTTTACTCACTTGCTATGAACCAGACATTGTGTGAGGTGCATGAGCAAGACTGATACCAGTTCCTTCTAAAGTGAGAAACAGATTATGCACAGGTAAACAGAAGAATAAAAAAAGTAATTTCAGCCTGGCCAGTGTGGTTCAGTGGTTGAGTGTCACCATTCAGTTGCAGGTCAGGGCACATGCCGGGGTTGTAGGCTCGATCCCCAGTGGGAGGTGTACAGGAGGCAGCTGATGAATGATTCTCTCTCATCATTGATATTTCTATCTCTCACTCTCCCTCTCTGAAATCAATAAAAATACTTTTTTAAAAAGGTAATTTCACAGAGTGCAGGTATTCCCAACATTTTGCCCTCACACCTTTCCTATTATCTCAGCCCCTCCTACAGCATTATTGTTCATTCTTCCACCCAATTCCAGCCTCCATCCGTGACCTCATTCATAGGGCTCACCAGGCACACACATACAGCTGCTTTGTACCAAGTAGGACACAGTTGAGACCCAAACCCTGCCATCTCCCAAGCTAGCCTGATATAGGTCTCTGGTCCAAAGAAGCCTCCAGTCTCCAACATCCACTAGTTATGGAGCCTCCAAAGACAAGCTCAGTTATCTTTCACATTTACTCTTTCTGACGGCCTACATAGCAAGTATCAAGCTAGACTTCCTTCAAACAACAACAGCAACAACCACAGTTAAAATGTTGACAGTGCTTGCCCTATGCCATACACTGAATGTTCATCATAATTTAATCCTCACATCAGCCTGAGGAGGTAGAAACTAAAAGTATCCCATTGTACAGATGAGGAAACTGAGGTTTAGCGAGATTACAGGACATGCCCAAGATCATATGCCAGAGATGGAACTTGTGAACCTAAATGTATCAGCTTCGTATTGCTGCTTAACAAATCATCCCAAAACAGCGTGGCTTAAGCCAACAATCATTATTTGCTTATTTGTATGGTTTGGCAGTTTGGACATGTCTCAACTAGGATAGCTCTTTTCTGTTGCACGTGGTCTTGTCTGGGCTTACTCCTGCCCTTGCGGTCAGCAAGGTGACAGGCTGGCTGGTCCTATATGGCCCCATTCAGAGATCTGGCCACTGGGTTTGTGGCTGGAGTGCCTTGGTTCTTCGCGTGGCTTCTTCAGCAAGCTAGCTCAGGCTTCCTTACAGGATGACCTCCAAAGGAAGAGAACAAAAGCAGCAAGGCCTCTCTTGAGGCCTACGCTCAGAAGTGCATAGGATCAATTTAAAAAATGTATATATTATTTTTTGTTTTGTTTTATTATTGTTACTACTATTTTTAGTCTTCACTCAAGGAGTGAGGATATTTTTTCCATTGATTTTTTTTTTTCAGAGAGAGTGGAGGGAGTGGGGAGAGGAGAGAGAGAGAAAAACATCGATGTGAGAGAGACACATCAATTGGTTGCCTTCCTACCCCCTCACCCCCTGACTGGGGATGGGGATCAAACCCGTGACCCTTTGGTCCTTGGGCCAACGTTCTAACCACTGAGCAAGTGACTAGGGCTAAATTTCTGTTTTTAAGCCACCCAGTCTGCTCTGGCAGTCCAAGTAGATTAACACAGGAGTCCTCGTTGTAGAAATGGTTTTTAAAGCCATGCAACTGGGTAAGATCTGCAAGGGAGTGAGCATAGACAGAGAAGAGAAGAGGACCAAGGACTGAGACTCCATCATTAAGAGATAAGAAACAAAGGAGTCTGAGGCAGAGCAGCTAGGAGTGTGTCCTGGGGACCAGTTAGGAAAACAGTTCTAAGGGGCAGAGCTGGTGATCTGTGTCAAATGCTGCTGAGAGGTCAAGAAGATGAGAATCTTGCCCTAGCTAGTTTGGCTCAGTGAATAGAGCGTTGGCCTGTGGGTGGAAGGATCCCAGGTTCGATTCTGGTCAAGGGCACATACCTCGGTTGCAGGCTTCTCCCCGGCCTGGGCCATGGTCGGGGCGCATGCAGGAGGCAATCTGTGTTTCTGTCTTTCCCTCTTCCACTTTCTCTAAAAATCAATGGAAAAATATCCTTGGGTGAGGATTAAAAATAATAAAAAAAAGATGAGAATCGAAAACTGAATTAGCAAAGTAGAGGGTGTTGTTGGATAGGAAAGAGTTTAAGGAGAATGGTGGGAGCAAAAGCCTGATTGGAGTGGGGTTAAGAGAGAGTAGAGGATTTAAATACAGAAAGACAGAAAGGAAAAGGAAATCTCTTTTTAAGAGGAGAAAGTCACCTAAAATCTAGAAGAGTAAGAATTAGAAAATCACTGTTTGGCAGCCACCATAGTAATAATTGTTTCAGGGGAGATTCATTCATAGATGTTTCAATCAGTAGTAGATTAAACTTTGAGGAGAAACAGGATATTTGCATAGTCTTAGAGTTCTCACAAGATAGTTACTCTTTTAAAATTTTTTAAGTTAAATTCTTTATTGTTTAAAGTATTACATAAGTCTCCCTTCCCCCCCATTGTCCTTTCCCCAGCCACTCCCACGCCCCAGCACATGCTTTCACCCCCATGCCATCTGTGTCCATTGGTTATGCTCATATGCATGCATTCAAGTCCTTTGGTTGATCTCTTACCCCCATCTCCCCGGTCTTCCCTCTTACGTTGGATGGTCTGTTCGATGCTTCTATGACTCTAGCTCTATTTTTGCTTATCACTTTATGTTGTTCATTCCACAAATGAGTGAGATCATGTGATATTTATCTTTCTCCAACTGGCCTATTTTACTTAGCATAATGCTCTCTAGGTCCATCCATGCTGTTGCAAATGGTAAGAGTTCCTTCTTTTATACAGCTGCATAGTATTCCACTGTGTAAATGTATCACTGATTTAAATCACTCATCTGCTGATAGGCGATTAGGCTGTTTCCAAATCTTAACTATTGTAAATTGTGCTGCTATGAAAGTAGGGGTGCATGTAGCCTTCCTGATTGGTGTTTCAGATTTCTTGGGATATTTTTGTAGAAGTGGGTTTGCTGGGTCAAATGGGAATAACATTTTTGAGGAAACTCCATACTGTTTTTCACAGTGGCTGCACCAGTCTGCATTCCCACCAGCACTTGTCATTCTTGCCAGCACTTGTCATTTGTTGATTTGTTGGTGATAGACATTCAGACAGGTGTGTGATGTACCTCATTGTCTTTTTGATCTGCATCTCTCAGATGATTAGTGTGACTTTGAGCATGTTTTCATATGTCTCTTGGCCTTCTGTATGTCCTTTTTGTAAAGTGTCTATTTAGGTCCTTTGCCCATTTTTTGATTGGATTGTTTATCTTTCTTTTATTAAGTTGCATGAGTTCCCTATAAATTTTGGAGATTAAACCCTTATCAGAGATATAATTGGCAAATATGTTCTCCCATGCAGTGGGGTTTCTTGTTGTTTGGTTGAAGGTTTCTTTTGCTGTGCAGAAGCTTTTTATTTTGAAGTAGTGCCATTTGTTTATTTTATCCTTAATTTCCAGGAAATGTATCAGTAAAGATATTGCTATGGCATAGGTCTGATATTTTTTGCTGTCTATGGATTCTTCTAAGATTTTTATGGTTTTCTGTCTTAGGTTTAAGTCCTTTATCCATTTTGAGTTTATTTTGTTTATAGTGTCAGTTGGTGGTCTAGTTTCATTTTTTTGCACGTATCTGTCCAATTTTCCCAGCATCATTTATTGAAGAGACTGTCTTGACTCCATTGTATGCTCTTGCCTCTTTTGTCAAATATTAATTGAGCATAGTGGTTTGGGTGATTTGTGGCTTCTCTATTCTGTACCATTGGTCTATATGTTGTTTCTTGTGCCAATACCAAGTTGTTTTGAGAACAGTGGTTTTGTAATATTGCTTGATATCTGATATTGTGATCCCTCCAACTTTGTTCTTCTTTCTCAGGATTGCTGTGGCTATTCAGTGTCTTTTTTTATTCCAGATGAATTTTTGGAAAGTTTGTCCTAGATCTGTGAAATGTGCCATTGGTATTTTAGTAGGGATTGCATTGAATCTATAGATTGCTTTGGGTAGTATGAACTTTTTAATGATGTTGTTGATTCTACCAATGCAAGAACATGATATATTCTTCCATTTGTTTATGTCTTCCTCTATTTGTTTTTTCAACATCCTGTAGTTTTCTGAGTACAGGTCTTTTAACTTTTTAGTTAAGGTTATTCCTAGGTATCTTAATTTTTTTTGTTGCAATGGTAAATGGGACAGTTCTTTTTAGTTTCTCTTTTTTTTTCTTTTTCTTTTTTTAAAAATTTTGTTTTATTGCTTAAAGTATTACAAACAGTATTACATATGTCTCCTTTTTTCCCACC